CCCGTCAACCGCAGTCAGATGTTTAATGGGTCCAGTAGCAGCACTTACTACACTGACACATTCTTCATCGTCAGTGCTCCTGTTATCAGTGCTTTCGCCATCATTTTTCTTGTAGGCCAAAGCCAATAGGCCCATAGCCTCCTGTATTAGTACCTTTTTATCCGTACAGCAGAACATACAAAGCCAATGCGAGTTAGGCTTCGAGCATCTTTTGTAAGCCGTCGGACTTAGTCGTGTACACATTTTGTGATACCACTTTTTACAGTCGTCACACTGCATTCCCTCCTCAACGGAGAACAAACAGTTTGGTTGCCCACATTTGTGAGTCTTGCCGACCATTGTAATTCGACTTAAAAGGTTTAAAAACAAAAAATGATAACAATGTGAACACAAGTGTTAGTCAAGGACTAAAAACAGGTACTCAGGTCAAAATTTAGTAAAAAATTTCAAACTTTAACCAAAGAACTCTTAGTTAAAGTAGACCAAGAATGCTTTTTAGTGCAATAAGTACCAAAAGCAAGTATAATCACAACAAGTACAAAAATCACTGCCCTTTTTGAAACTAGCGCTCTTTAGGTGTGAGGAGTCCTTTGAAGGGAAACATGACATAACTTTGAGGACTAAGGGTAGTATCTTAATATGATTTACCAACTATTCTTCGTTTTCCTTTCTAATCACTAATGTGTGGATGCTATTGTACATCGGATTACAGAATCTTATGAATGTAACGTTACACCCCCTTGACATTCCGGTTGAATTAGAATGCTGCAGTAAGACTTATTTCTCTCGTCTTTTACGTTAATCATATTTAATCAGGGGAGCTTCTGCTCGAGTTAAGAGATCTCCGGTTATACGTTTAAACAGGTAACAGATTCACTGGAGTGTAAACGGCTTGCATCTCGACCCGACCACCCAATTTTGAGGAAATTTGACCCATTTTGGAGATATTTTGAGGTAATGGCACCAAATCCCCAAATTCTCCCCAGAGGTTGGGAATTTCCCCAATATTTCTCTCTAAAATTGGTGAAGGACATTTAACTTCGGTTTTCCCAAAATAGAGAGAGTGGGTTATTGTAACTAGTGGTATGGTTTGACAGCGTACTAGGAAAACAGTAATAACCTAGTTTATGATAAAAAGCTCATGCAAGTTTCAATATCTGTAGTTCAGAACACAGTTTGGTTTCTCCAATATCCATGTCATAAGCCGATATATTTCTTCGCGCTCGCTTGTTATTTCGGCACGGCTCCAGGTGTTCTATAGGTGGTTGTCTAGCCACTTGACTGTTCTAATTCTAGCCAGTTCGCAATCAAGTATTATGAGTCCTTTCCTGTATCGTTGATCGACTTGAGACACTTGGTACTTCGATAAAGGATTTGCATTCCTGTCGACTAATTGGTACACTGTGAATTATTTTGTTACGTCAGTGCCTAAAAATTATAAGCCCCCAAATGCCCTGGTATGGCCGAGAGGGAATGGTCCGCTCTCCCTCTCGAAATGCACTCATATGGCCACGCGTATACAGCCTCTGCCAGGGAAGTCCTACTCACTGCCTTCTCGTGGCGCGGGTGTTGTTTACGGAAATGAGGGGACGAAAAGCGATTGTCCGGCGCTTTTACCGGATCCCAAACCAATAGTGCATATGAGCTCCAGGATCCTAAGGAAACAAATAGCGTACAAATCAGTTGTTTGTCACCGGCTACTATTGGACTGCATCTCCTTACGTTGCTCCACTATCTTGTGGATTAGACCCCTAAGAAAACCAACCGCTTCGGTTTGGACACCTGGGCAGTATCGCAGCCCTCACATAAATCGAATGATTTATGTAGCGCATATCTGTCTGGTGCCTACTTGTACCAATGTTCAAGTGTTTAAATAAATAATAAATCTGCTTAACATGTGACATTATAAACTCCATAAATTTGTTCGAATATTCATTTAGTTTGAAGCTAAGTGTAACTCAAAATTTTGTTCTCCTATAATACCACTATTGACTGATGAAATACTGGGATTGTTAAACCATTCAGATAGAATAAAACTGTAATCCATAACTAAATGTATATCAAAGAACAAAAGCTATCGATCAACTGAATTACTATTAGTTGGAAGACCAAAGCTTACATCCATCTATAAAGTAACCAACCACAATAGTATTATAGTGAACGAACACTCAGGTGGAGAAGACTAAGTTATTGTTTAATGCCAAATTACAGATTGCTTTCGTAAAGTATGTAAACCATACATTAAATACATAATTTGCACATCTTCCACCAATTTTCCTTTACATGCTTCCTGATTCTTCCAGTTCTGTTGTTATTACAATTACTCTCCGTTTCCCTTTCCGTTCTCTTCAATTGAGTCGTCTCAATCTTTTGCTGGCATTCATTCCACTCCCGAATAGTGTTACATATTACTTATATCTGCCAGCATAAGTAACATACACCACTGTATGACTGTTAATTGCTTATCAGATAATAAGTGAGTAAACGTGAAAGACAAAATACAACTTATGGTTGTTTACTTTTACTTCCCGTATCATATTCCGCTCTTGCTATTTGACGAAATAAATTAGAGTTAAATCTTTTTTGCAAAAACAATCCATGTCATAATTCAACTTTGTTCAAGCTTTATTTCATTTTTTCTAGGTGTCTAATGTTACGATTGTTTCAAATAGTAAAAGCAATGATGACTTCTGAAATATCCATCAATAAAAAGCAATCAAATAATAACTTTGTAGACGATCGCAAGGGACTTCAACTCTTGAAGCTCTACAAATCACCGGGTCCAGATGACTTACCTCCGGACCATTTTAAAGATGGTGGTGGCCTTCTGGTTAAAGAACTGACTGTGCTATTCGCAAAGGTTTAGAAGTTAGAGAGTTTTCCAAAATCGTGGAATGAGTCGAAGTTGTCCCTATCTTTAAACAGGGTTCATGTCGTTCCTGTAACAACTATCGGGGGATAAGTCTACTTCCGATTGCGTCCAAGCTATTGGCTTCCGTCATACTTCCTAGGTTGTTCAAAACCCGAGAAAGATTGACTCGCGAGGAGCAGGCTGTGTTTCCTTCCGGTCGAGGATGTATTGACCATATCTTCACCCTCCACTAAACGTTAGAACACCGTAATACTTATCAAATACCAACAATCGTAGTGTTTCTTGACATCAGGGCTGCCTTCGACTCGTTGAACAGGACTGTTCTCTGGGACTGTCTATTGAAGAAAGGTGTGCCTGAGAAGTTTATTAACATCCTAAAAGCCCTATATGCAAACACCTCAGGCAGAGTGAGGGGATACAATCACTTCTCTCCATTGTTCCATTCAAGCAGTGGGGTTAGGCAGGGTTGCCCAATCTCACCATTTGTTATAATCTCTTTCTTACTGTTATGACCCAGCTATTCCTATTGCTTAGTATTCTCGAACACCGATTCACTCGACAAGTCCCCAAATCAAAACACGGTTGAACAGGAAAGAGATTATATTCTAAATAACAAGGTTAGATGGAAGTAAGAAGCACAATAGAGAAAACGTCAGTATATTTATAATTTTTAACATGAGAAGGTTCTAGAGTATTCTCCAACTATCGACTAGTGCTGATTGAATAAGAATTAGCCAATCAGCGTTCACCAAGGCAATCGTGAATTGATCATGCTTTAATCCGGTCTATGTCCCGCTAACACCATTCCTCTCCAACTTTGCCATCGATGGCATTCTGGAAACAGCTCTGATGGACGTAAGTAGTGGCGGTGTGGATCTGCTGCCTGGAGAAAGACTTCTCGACCTTGAGTATGCGTATGATATTGTCTTACTGTGCGATAATGTCTAAGCGATGCAATCCGTACGTAATCAGTTGGCAATCAATGTCCGTAGGTATGGTATGTGCTTCGCACCTTCGAAGTGCAAAGTATTTCTACAAGACTGGCAGGATCCTAATCCTGCACTCACCCTGGATGGTGAGCAGATAGAAGTAGTCGAGAAGTTCGTGTATCTAGGTAGCTGCATAAGTGCTGGTGGGGGTGTGAGTGATGAGATCAATGCATGTATATTGAAAGCCAGAGCGGCTTAGACCAATCTGGGCCACCTTTGGCGCCTTCGCGATGTCAGTCTGGCTGTAAAAGGTCAGATCTACAACGCGTCGGTGAGAGCAGTTTTGCTCTATGCTTGTGAAACCTGGCCTCTCCGAGTTGAGGACGTTAGACGACTCTCTGTGTTCGATCGTCGTTGTCTCCGAAGAATTGCTGACATCCAGTGGCAACACCATGTTGGTAATGCAGAGGTTCGGCATCGTGTGTTCGGGCACAGAGATGATAATGCAATTGGTGTCACCATCTTGAAACACCGACTTCGGTGGCTTGGACATGTTCTACGAATATCGTCTCAGATAATTCCACGTCGTGCATTATTTGCCGACGCTGAGACTGGTTTGAGAAAGCGGAGAGGTGATCAGTGTATGACATGGTGTCGTGATATGAAAGAAAGCTGCAAAAGACTGGCTTCTGTTGGTCCTTCACGAACCCTGGTTGGGGTCCGAGAGATGGTGCGACACAGTGGCTAGAGACGTTATCAGATATGGCTCATATTAGGAGCCATTGGCGATCCTCCTGTAACTTTCTTTTACTTTTTCACAAAAAGTGGTTGCTTCTTCCTTAACTGTAAGGATTCTTCTGATTGTACGTTTCTGTTTCCCTCATTATTATTATTACACTACCGCACACTAACCTGTTCTTTTTGTTCTTTTTTTTACGCTCCTTACCTTTTTTTCCTGTTTTTCAAATTCTCATTGTTTTGTGTGGTGCTTATGTGTTTGGTGCCCTCTTGTACCAATATTTATGTGTTCAAATAAATAAAAAAATTATAAGGATCAAAAGTACCACCCCATTTAATTCATATCTACTCGTCAGTTAAAATGTAACTAACAATTCTCATTTGTTTTCAGGTAACCAGTGCATCAAACCACAAAGAAATAAATATTTAAAGTTTTAGCAGATATCTTTGTACATGACGCAATGCTGTACTTAGTAGGCCTGGGTTTAGGCTCCTTCTCAGATTTGACAATGAAGGGTTATGATGTACTCAAAAAGTGTGATTATGTGTATCTTGATAGTTACACTTCCATATTCTCTGAGGAAGAGTTAAAGGCATTGGATATCAATGGAAAATGCATACTTCCAGCCGATCGGGAATTCGTGGAGCAAAGCAATGAAATTATAGATCGAGCGAAGAACCATGACGTCGCGTTTCTTGTAGTAGGTGATCCTTTAGGAGCAACTACACATAGTGGTTAGTGAGAAAGTGCTAATATTTTTCAGATATTATATTGAGGGCTGTAGAAAAAAATATATCTTACCAAATTATTCACAATGCGTCAGTTATAACTGCAGTCGGTTGTTGTGGCTTGCAGCTCTATAACTTTGGTGCAACTGTATCAATCCCTTTGTGGGATGAATTTGGTCATCCGGAAAGCTTTTATGACAGAGTAATAATGAATATGAAAAGCGGATTTCATACACTATGTTTGCTGGATATCAAGGTAAAGTAACTCTATTTGCATATAATACTCACTTCTTAACTGCTTGTCAGACACTTAAGACCTATTAAACTGAATTTCAAAATTAGTGATTTTTTGTAAATAAACAAATCTATTTTATTACCAATCCATCACACATTTTTCTCAATAACCACGTAGATTAACATAAGTCCGCTATATTCTTTTTGACCCCCCATATTTGTTCTAAACAGATTTTCCGTGAGCTCACTTCTTGCAGTTTTGGTGAATCTAGCTAATCTTGCAATACTGAAAAAAGCACATGGTTGTTAGCCTAGTGTGTTCACATAATACATAGTAGTTCTCACAATGCTTTTTGGATCAAATAAAATAAGGTATAAACCAGTCTCTCACATTTTGATGACTTCACGAGTGTCCAAATAGACGGACGATGGTCAAGTAACTGAGTTGTTTACATTTAAATTTACTTAATTGAACACATAAACATTGGTACAAAGGGGTACCAATTACGTAGTAAATATAATAATAATAGGAGCAGGAAAAGATTCTTAAAACTAGAGAAGTCACTTTCACTTTTATGAAGAAAGTTACAACAGGATCGCTACTGGCTTCTGCTTTAAGCTATTCCCGATAGTTTCAAGTCACTGTGTTGCACCATCTCTAAGACTTCAAACAGGAAGTTGCGAAGGACCGACAGAAGCCAGTCCTGTACAGCTCTCTTTCATGTCACAACACTATCGGGCACTGACCACCTCTCCGCGTCTTCCATCCGGTCTCGGCGTCGGAAAATAATGTATGGTATGGGATTCGCTCAGACGACATCTCTCGGTGTTTCAAGATGGTGACACTAACTGAAGTATCGTCACTGTGCTCGAGCACACGTTGCCAACATCGGCATTGCTAATAAGGTGTTGCCAGTGGATGTCAGCGTTACGTCGGAGACAACGATGATCAAACAAAGAGTCGTCCAACATCCTTGACTCGGAGGCCAGGTTTCACAAGCACAGAAAAACTGCTCTCAAATTGAGGAAAAATCTGTGTGGAAAGCGACGTCTTTTCGTGATCTCCGTCTACGCTCTAACCCATTGGTTGTATACAAGACTGCTACTTCTTTTGAAGTACTTATCCAGACTGATCATTGCATTGTTTGCTCTAACCTTATCTTACATTTCAGTGGCCAACAAATTCATCGCCCTAAATGATGTCAGCTAATTAATGTGAAAGAAAGCTACACAGAAATAGCCTCTGTTAGTCTTGCGCGACTTCCTGGCTGAGGTCCTAGAGATAGTGCAACACAGTGGCTTCAGACTATCAGGAATAGCTCTCTAATTGTAAGGATCCTTTCCTGTTGTTTGTTTTCTAAATTAACTTCCCCCCTATTATTATTACTACTGTTTCACTGTCCTACAATAATTCCTGTTCATTGTTGCGGTTTTTTATTATACTCGCCTTCCACTATCTATCTTTTCAAAACCTCATTTTTATTGTGTGGCGCATACATAGTTGGTACTCCTTTGTGTTCAAACAAATAGACGGCCGACGTCAACCATTTTGTACCGACTACACTAAGATATCCTGGAGTGTCAAACTTTACTGTAGCTGTTAAGTGTAGTAATATGCGCTGATGTGTTCACGAAGTCTTCTGTCTTAAGGTCACGATATTACATCGATATATATTCTACCAGAGAGTGAATAACTAGTGTATTTTGTTAACTTGATGTCTAAACTTTGATTATTTGACCTACTGTTTAAATAAACCAGATACTGTAAGTTAATGAACAACAGTAGCATGTAATGAATTACCTTTCTGTGACTAATTATCTGACTTCACAATGTATAGTTCGACCTCTTTTCTCTACGTATTCCTGAAAATCTTTCTGTGATTGAATATCCAAACCAACTATTTGGACTTATCAAGGAAACAGATACTAAAGATTCGGCTGTTGGTAAAACTATCTCGGAGGAAGAGGGGAATATTGTTCACTCACAATCCAGTAGATTGAGATGCTGGGCAGAACACCTTGGGGAACATTTCAACTGGTTGTTGCACACCACCTTTATGCAACCTGGATGGAAACTTGATACGAGTCCCCCATCTCTTAGTGAAGTTGAAAAAGCTCTAAGCGATAGGTGTAAGGTTTTGATTAAATAACACAAGGTGTTTAAGCATAGTGGTAAAGTTCTTGCAGTCATACTAAGATTCCAGCTAGCATATGAAAACCGAACATAATTTTATCTGACTGGTCTCGACCACTTGCCGTCTCAGTCCATAAAAACAGGAATCCTCTTGTGTCAGTCACAAAGGAATTCGTTTGACTAGTGTGGTGTAGAAAATACTAGCCTCAACAATACTTTGATGCCAAACTAGAGCTCATGTAGAGCAAACCGAAGAAAACAGGCTGGTTCTAAACCTAAACGTAGATGTGCAGACCAAATATTCACCCTTCGGCAGGTTTCTGGTACATAAACATACTTCCCGATATCTGAATGTAGTTACATTCTCTGAGTCTTAGGCGTAGTCAAACTCTATTGATCGTGAAGTTCTGTGGCAGTATCCATCGTTGAAAGACGTACCAGAGAAGTGGATTAACGCGAACACTGTTAGTCGAGTTACATCTAATGACGAACTGACATCGAGACCAGTTTCCTCAAGTGGCGCTAGTCAGTGTTGTTCACCTTCTCAATCTTAATTTAACATGTTAATAGGAATTCTTTGGGAGACAACGCTCTGACCGTTTGACTTGATTTGTCAGGAGATCCATTCGCTGATTTAGGATACGCATATGATGTAGTTCGGTTTGGTGAAGGTGCTGAGGGATACAACCTTATGACCACGTTAAGCGGATAATGCAGACATATTCAAGATGGAATTCTCTCCCTTTCAATGCGTAATGTTATTTCATGATTGGCCTGTGCCATTTGAATTAACCATGGTGTTGACTGCTTCATTTGTCTTGAAAGTCTCAACAGCCCTGACAGTCTGATATCTGAGGGAGTCTGCCTAATTGCGTCACCTGTTGTGTAGGCGAGTAAATAAGGAAATCTGACATATACTACCTAGTTGTCCTTAAATACATTTTATTTCACTTCGATGCACGATAGGATTTATTTAAATGCACAGTGAAACCGATGTTACTGCTAATAATATATAACATCGCCACAAATTTTATCTAAGTATAAATAAGTAATGCAACAATACATAAGGTGTTGTATGTCAAACACAGTAACAAAGAGCGAGCTAAAATCGTGGTGAGAAATCCCCAAGATCTAATCTACTTGGTCCTAAGATAAAGACGCTTAGAATTCTTTGAATGTTGTCAATGAAGTCTGAGTGCATATTGTTCCAATTATGGAAGTATCGTGACCAAGCTAAGTTGAAGTCTATCAGATAAAATGACCAGGCCGTTCTCTTGAACAGATCTCTAATTAATGTCTGAAACACGCTTCTATCGTAATCAAGACGTTCAAATTCTGAACGTTAACTCGAGTCACGAACAGAAATGTGGTCAAATTTGGCCTGCAATACATGTATAACTCTTAGACGCAATGTCATAAGTATATGATGCTTCACCTAACATGACATAAATGTGCTTATCTGGTCAACATTTCCTTACTTCCTTAGGTAAAGGAGCGTTCTTTGGAAAACATCCTACGTGACCGCAAAGTATACGAACCCTCCCGCTTTATGTCCTGCTATGAAGCTGTACACCAAATAGTGGACGTCAGTAATAGAAAAGCAGATGATCAGCGGAGCAAAGGAAATACAGCTGTTATGAAGTCCTGTATTGTAATTTGCTTATCCGATTAGGATGTGATGACCAGAAAATCGTTGTTTCGACAATAAGTGATATCAATGAAGCCTACTTAAACCCAGGGGAAAAGGGTTTTGACTTTGGGAACCCACCGCATAGTATAATCATACCTGGGTTAATACATGAGCTGGAATCAGAATTCTTGGTTGCTCGATACCGAATCGATGTCGGAAGTCAAAAATTCCTGCCTATATTTTACACTACACGAAGAAATATAGAGAATGTTCTCGAAGCTTATCAGGATGCAATAAACGTACACAACGAAATAGTTCGCACCATGGAGCCTACGCCAGATCACAATTAGTATTATATACTACTTATCTGATAAAAAATGTCTTGTACTTCATCTTAACCGTTGCGTTCGCTATGGGGTACTGAACTTCTGGTATGTTTATTCTGCAGTGCGATAGTCGAACAACTAAAGCATCGAGCCCCTACTTACTCATGATTTAAAAAGCGTCACCGATCCGCGCGTAATCAAAGCACAACTTGAAGATACACGGCCGACGTTCCACTAATTAGTTTGTCGAACGAGATCGAGCAACTTCGCTCGTCACTAGGTATGTCATATATCCTTACAATTGTGACCGTAAGTATTCCCCCCGTATAGTTGTTTCGAATAATTATTTGGCAACCTTGCGAGTTTACAGAATGCAAGCCACCCTATAATTAGCTTATAAAAACTTCGGGTTTAAATGTTTTGCACCCCAAAATATCTTTGAGTGAGCTTGAAAGATACTAAGAATAACGCCTGTTGCAGCCACATTACGAACCACCTGTGGAATATCACGTCCATTAATGGGGAATTAGAAAAGCAAATATAGAGGAAGTAGATCGGTTAATACCACATCACTTACACACCAACAACGGGAAGCGGATACACACTTTAAGACATAGGAAGAACACATGCTTTATTAAAGATAATATATTGAATATCAATTGTACAGAAGTTGGCGGATTGATCACTTGCAAAAAAATACCTGGAAAAACATCTGAAAAAGGCATCCTGAAATGCTTCAGGTGGTTGAATTTGGTGTTTCCGCTACATTTTTGTATTAGCGTTGACCAACTAGTAGAGCAGTATACAAGAACAAGGACTGGGTTTAATCTTACTAACCTGCATTACGATGTATCATTCATGTTGGCGAGGTAAAGCAGCTAGAAATAATAAGCCGACAAGGTTGTGAAGTGACGTACATATGTTACGCGAACTGTCGAGATCGACAGAGGGATACTTGGTAACGAAATATTGAATAACTCAAGCAACGTAATCTTAGTGGTCACTGCAAGACATTCAGTCACATGACTTGCGTAAAACTGCAACACACGATTTGCAAAATAGAAGTCCACCTTAATAGGATCGATTATTCGCTTCAAAGTAAGTGTCGGGACTGCTCGAGGCGTCGTTAGACCTAACAGAGTATTAACAAACTAGGATAGTATGGACTGGCACTTTTCAAGTTTTCGATTGTTTTTCTCTCAAGGACGTACAACTGCTGTTACATCAAACTATATTACTTGGTATTTGATTGTATTCCTTTGATTAATAGGGCTAGTATTACATCATGAACCAACAACAAGACCGATTGACGCCGAATAAAGATTGCTTCACTGCCCGCTAACGGTATCTTACAACACTGAGTCGGAAACAATGAAGGTAGTGAAACACAAGCGACAGGACTCCGTAAATTCTCAGCTAGTGAATCCCTGACCAAAGGCGAAGCACTGTAAAGCCAATCCCAGGTGTGAAAAGACTGACTAGATTTAGGGATGCAATAAACTTACTAATATATACTCAGTCCAAAGAGTGCACTTTGATAGTCTTGAGTGCTGTTAGATGACGAGGCGGTCATCACCTCACCGTTCTCATACCGTCTAAAAGCCCCTCTAGATGCACCTAAAAAGAAAATTGGGTTAGGTTTGGTCTGAGTCACCCGAGGGCGTGACCGCAGTACTCAGGGGACAACTTCATAAGGCCGGCCACACACAACCTCCGCAGAAGTTGAGACCTTACCCCTGGAGACGGGGACACGTCAGATAAGTCGAGGTATGCATATTTAGGGTCGACCAATCGTAAGCACATCTGTCCTACGAGAGAAGCTAGCATCGGTTATTATGCTGGTTGTCTGAGGAAAACACCTTACTGCCGTCATATCACTTAGGAACAGTAGTCACTGACTTGCGACGATCGTGAAGACTACTTTCGTAAGAACGAGATACTATCTTGGTTAACACGACACAATAGACTGCTTAGACTCTCTTGCTTAGTAATCAATATTCAAGACCAAAGCCTTCACTGTTTATTTGCCTAATTTCGGGAATTTTGGTATATTTCGAACAATCTTTCGTTATTTTACCCTAAATTTGACAGGTTGAACGTGTGAACTATCGCCTATGATAAGCTGTGTAGATCAGTTCACAAATAAAAACACGCTGATCTGCGAACCTTGCTGTAGTTTGACTTCTCAATCTATGCGGCAACATGTCTTTACCCACATGACAATGAAATAAAACAATGCTACTTACCCCTATTCCCTATGACAAAAACCTACCTTTAGGCATCAAGGTGTGGATGCACTGGGTTTTATGATCCATCTGAACTACGTGAAGTACTCGTGTAATGTGCGATATACTGTGCTGACCTTTAAGTATCTGGATATTTTCCTATATTTAATCGTAAAAGCACCGCTCACCTTTCTATCCAAAACAGAATTTTTTCACTGAGGAACCAGTGTACATCGGCGATCACATTATACTGGGCTGTTTAAAATAATGACCTACCAGATATATTTCATTAGTTTGACTTACATTGTTTCCAGCACACTTTAAAAGAAAACAAGAAACGCAAAGTAAGTTTGTTTACGATTAACATAGTTAAAGTTAAATGTACAACACATGATCAGTTAAAGTTCAGATCACAAGCTTTGGATAAACGTACGAACGACTGACTTGCGTTAGAACCGTAACTGTGGCATTCCAGCCCAGGGTGTAAGTTGACCTGGAGCAGGCGCGATTTGAGGTTGCATCGTCGGCAAGCCGAAAGCTGTAAGTCAGAAGAAAACACGGTAGTTTTAGGACTGATTTAAATTAATAATGAATTTCAGGTCGTAGTGAGTTTATGCTCATTATGTGAGAATTATCAGAAAACTGAGTACTTTGAAGTTTTAAACAGAAATTACGTGAATACAAGACATATCTACATGTAGTTGTTGTGAACAATATGTTTCATCAACAATGGGATGAAACTTATGCGAAATCCAAGAGTAGATAACGTAATCGACGAGACCGGGCATCGAGAGTATGACTTGAGAAAGTATAATCCAGTTGAATAAGTTCTCGAAGACTGTCGTAACTAAAAACCTGAGGTAATGCAGAGATGCTTGTTAACCTGTTTCTAAGCCATGCCTGTAACCGTTGGTTGCGATATTCATGCCCATTCCAAATATGAACTCTGCACTTGTCTACCTGATTTAAATTGTCAGTCTTAATGGACTAATGTCCCGCTTCGAAGAATAGTGATACTACGTAAGTTTATGTGGGGACTAAATCGTATTGCACGGAAGACAATAGTCAAGTTTTACCTCAATATGAAGTAGCGATGCGTCTCCTTTTGTCATGAGACGGAATCCATGTAGGTGGATCAATATTTTACACAAGGAAAAATTTCCGACTTCCACTGAGGGAACTAATCTCAAAGTCGTACGAAGACAATTAAAACCAATGAACGATGTCATAAAATCAACCATAACTGCATTTAGTCAACCCTCTTATCACTCAAATTCGCTGTTATGGTGAAGTTAAAAAGTGTGGAACGGGTTGATAGTTTCAGCCGGTAGATAGAATTGTACTATTAATTCCACTGTCGTTGATGTAAAATGACTTCGATATTACACGAAGGCTCATAAATTAGGTTTTGTCAATGTAAGGGTAATCAATGAAATTTGTGGTATGCTCACAGGCTCGAAGTCTCAGATTTTAAAAGACACTTCTCACATTATTTATCAATCTACAAATCTTTGAAAAAGAGCCACTAGTTCCAGTTCAATACGACACGAATGTTGTACATCAACGTTAAGAAAAAGTACGCCAAAAATACTTTATGCACACCACCTACCAGGCGGAGGGATAAATCCAGGCGCGTAAGCAAACGGCATCTGGACGGAGGCTGTAGGCACAATCGGAGGATACACAATTTGTGTCGGCTGTGGAGGTATGAAACTTGGAGTTGTTAGTCCCAGAGTTATAGGAATAGGAGGAGGTATAATCTTTTTTGCTGCATTCTCAACAATAGTTTTGTATCGCGGCAACTCAGCTCTTAATTCCTCCTGAGTTCATTAGATGAAGTAAAAAAAATCAAACTCACTAGGGACAAGTCTTCATCGGGATGAATTAACTCGATGATTACTCCATTAACTCCCGACGTGGGCTTCGGGACTTTGGACACGTTGGCTTTTACGTTAGACGATGGAGACGAATAGGCAGGAAAAGTAGCCTTTGGAGTAGTTGTAGGGGACTATACAATAAAACTCAAAGTGAACTGTTACCTTTTCGTCATTTGGAGTAGCTGGCTGAGGAGGAGCGGGAGCTGCAGGAGGAGGAGGCGGTGGTGGTGGTGGTACATAGTGTACTGAACTACACAAATCAACCAGGGTTAACAAAACTTACTTCAAATGTGGAGGGAGGCTGTGAACTAGATACGCGGAATTAGAATCAATTTTAACTTACGTCCAATATGTCCGAAAGGTGCTATAGGTGGACACAAGGTTTGCATGAAAGGCAGTGCAGGGTGGATAGGTGGTGGTGGGTAAAACGGGGCACTTTCATCTTCTTTGGCTATTTTCTCTGGTGGTTCGTCTTCACCTTCTAACCCAAATTTCTGTCTTTCATGTTCGATCATATCTACTTCCGGAATACCGGACATGCCGTATATATCAATGACAGTGCTTGTTCTGTTTGGCAAGGCATTAGGAATCTTATCCAGCTTCTCTTTGTGAACCTGATGTTTTGAATATTGACGAATGTCGTGACTTACTTGGTTGCAATGAATCGACAAACCAGGACCGGTGAACAATTTTCTGTGACAATAAGGACATTTGAAGTGTTTTGCCTTTTGATGTTGGATTAGAATCTTCTCGTCGTCAAACTCCCGATTGCAATACCTAGGGATTATCAGTGTTTTGAATCTCACATACCAACACCATGGCTTCAGTTGCTTCCTCTTCTTGCGACCCATTCCCAACGCAACAACCGTAACGAAATACCCGCCCCGAAACCGGAAATGCAGGCTACGTAACTGCCTTCAATTAACAATTCTCAGTCTTCAGTAGTAGGGATAGGATGTTTGTCGACTTATAATAACCCTTGCAGTTTGTTACATTATAGTGGTCCAGTCTCGTGTTGAATATATTGACGTAAGGTGCTGATGTTACGTGTTCTGGCGGCGAATTCCAGTAATTCATTGCTCAGTGCGAGAAGCGGAAATTCAGACGTAGACGATCTGATCTCGGTTTTCGTACTTTCTTAGAGTATCATTTCTAACTATTAGTCCTAGATGAAGGTAAAGATTGGGAATATTAATACGAAGGTCATCGTTCGGTATATGATAATCCAGTATTAGGCCGCTCCGGTAAAAGTCTGTCTTCATGAGCTGATCCGCATCGGATAGAAACAGGTATCTACCTCAGAACAATGAAAGATGGTCGCGCGATTTCGTTTGTTGGCTGAGTTTAGACATTAACACCGTTAGATGCCGGCTCAGTGGTTTAGATGTCAAGGGTTCGCGGGCGGGACCCAACGCCCTGGTTTCCAATCCCAAGAGCGGGATCGTGTATGCACATTGTTGATGAGTCTTACAATAGGACGAAACGGCCGTCCGCTACTTCAGGGTTTTCAATGGTGGTCTAACATCGATTGATTCATGATCTCGATCAAAATTCATGAGATAGACCAGAGCGATGTCCTTGCATTTTCATACCTCGTTGTTGGATTCGTTCCAACATATCCATCTCATACTTGAATAAGATTAGCCAAAAACGAATCCCAGCGCACAACAGCCTTGGTGTTTATTCGGTCGTCGAACCGTTCATGGGTATCTCCTCTGTACATGGTCCCTGAAATGGACAACAAGGATTGTCGTCCAACTCGCGATTAACAGCGACTTAGTACGAAAACCACTTTGGATTGACACCTCGCCACACATCCACGACCTGATAGTCACCTTTAACTATACAACCGCAAGTACGGTTGTTGTAAAAATGAAATCAACGAAAATAAATGTCGGGAAACTCGTGAATATATTGCATCGAGTTTATAATTACACCTATGAGACAATTCTTCACTGTGGGTTTGTAGGATTATGGTCTAGTTCGGTACATCCGTCTTTGCCAATATAATAACAGACCTGATCATAAAACTGTAGATTAGTCATGATGTGACTACCTCATCTATAATATCTTATATGGAAGTCACACAGCTGAACTGCTTAACGCGCGATTTTCGAACGGGAAGTTTAGTCCTAACGTGATTTGCATATATCAAACTTTTGCTGTGTTCTTACGCAACAAAAGTACCATTTCAGTTCTAAAAAATCTATCCTGAGCTATACGTTCGGTAGATTACTTTTTTTTGAGTTTCACTATATTTAATAGTTACCTGTGGTTTTGCCTCAGCATACTATTCGGTTTTTTTTGTTTTTCACGTATAGACTAGTTTCAGTTTATATCACTCGTTTTGTCCGTTTTTGTCCGTTTTCACTTCCGTAGTTGATTTCGGTGTCTAGTCCACGTGTCTCTTCCCACCTTTACCTCGTACATAACATGGCCTAGTCTTCCGACCACACGTGCTTCGATCCAAGGACCATGATTTGCTCTGTAGTCGAGCAAACACGGCATCCGACCTCGTACGCTGGAAGCTTCTGAGATTTGGTCTGAGATGGTGGTGGTGTGGTTCTTGGGCACATCAGACTATGGATCGTCCTCATTTTCCTTCCCATCAGGATTTCTGCCGGGACTTCTGCTGTTGGTAGCATATCACTAGGTGTTGTGTTCGGTAAACAAACAAGAAATTCTGCAGTGTTTCTACTGTCGTCCCCTCCCCTTTCGACTTCATTAGAGCTATCTTGAATGTATCCACAAATTTTCTGCCCTGGCCATTTGGACTGTGGGTGGTAAGGTGGAGAGCGGAAATGCTTGATAGATAGGCGTTTTGCAAAATTCTTGAAACTGACTTGAGGTGAATTGCGAACCGTTGTCGGATACGATTATATCCGGTTATCCGTTGCGGGAGAGAACATCTCTGTCAAAAGTTGCGTCGTTTGGGTTGTCGTCGGTGGCATGACGGGAACGATTTCTGGCCATTTCGAAAAGGCGTCAACAACGACTAGATAGGTGGTTCCATTAATTGGGCTGCGAAATCGACATGTATCCTGGACCAGGATACTCAGGCTGTGGCCATGAGACTGGCAGTATTTTTGTGTTACACTTAGCTGCTTGCTGACATTGTGTGCACTTGCTACTAAATCCACGATATGTTGGTCCATGAGGGGCCAATAAGCATAGTTTCTGGCGATGGATTTCATTCGTTTTATACCAGGATGATCAGTGTGGGATTGCTTTAGCACCTTTGATCTTAGGGATTCGGGCACCACTACTCTGTCTCCAAACATCAAGCATTCGTTTACGACGCATAATGAGTCTCGACGGTGGTAAATCTGCTTCAAGTCACCATCGAGTCCAGTTGGCGGCCAGCCATTGGTGACGTACTTCATCGCTCTCTTTATGATGGAGTCGTTCTTGGATGCAGATTGTATTTCAGCTGCTGAGACTGGCAAAGCACGGATAGCGGTTGTTAGGTAACACTGTGCGTAGTCCTCTGTCATCAGGGAGGCAATAACTGTATCTTCGCCGGCCGTATGGTGTTCGCTGATAAGTCGTGACAAGGCGTTAGCCTGACCAAACTTTGAGTGCGCCGATACTGAATGTCAAAATCATAACCCAGAAGTATCAAAGCCTATCGTTGGAGAAGGTTTGCAGAATGGGCTGGAACACCAGATTTCGAACAGAAAATTGTGAGAAGAGGCTTGTGATCAGTGAGAAGAGTAAATCTTCGACCGTACAAGAATTTGTGGAAAGGGCGTACTGCAAACACAAGACGAGAGCCTCTTTCTCAATGTGACTGTACTTTCTTTCCGCCGAAGTTAATGTGCAAGATGCATGCATAATAGCTTTTTCTGTTGTGTCCGGGAACTGATGTGAAATGACAGCACCGAGTCCAAAAGCTGAAGCATCTGCAGCGACAATAATAGGCATGGACGGATCGTAGTGCGTCAATAACAGTTCAGAGCTAATGATGGTTTTCAGCTTGCAAAATGCAGCTTCACATTCTTTTGTCCAATTCCAGCTGGTATTCTTATTCAGAAGATGATTTAGCGGGCGTGTATGTCATGTATCGACGGAACAAAACCTGAATAATAGCTAATTAGTCCCAGGAATGATCGTAGCTCAGAGATATTAGTGGGAGTCGGCATCTGTTTTATAGCTCGGATGTTTTCAGGATCTGGTCTGTGACCTGCAGCATCAAAGATGAATCCCAAGTATTTTACTGACTTCAAGAAAAACTGGCATTTTTCTGGGCGTAACGGAATCCGTTATCGCTGATGCGTTGTAGTAAAGCTTTCGTTCGTTCTCTAAGCTGTTTTAACGTTGTGGCAACAATTAAGATATCATCGAGATAAGTTGCGACCCCAGGGATACCCTATGGAATGGTATCCATTAGTTACTGAAAAATAGATGGAGTTGTTTTAACACCAAATGGTAGGCGATTGTACTGAAACAAGCCACGATAAGTATTTATGGTAAGTGACTCTTTCGAATCTTCAGCCACTTCCACTTGTAGATAGGCATCAGCGAGATCCAGCTTTGCAAAGAACTTCCCACCATTTAACATCGTGAACAAATCTGTAGGGACTGGCAGTGGGTAGTGATGCTGTTATAGAGCTGCGTTAAGACCTGTGGAAAAATCTGCGCATATTCGGATTGTGCCATTAGCCTTCTTAATAACCACAATGGGTGCTGCCCAGGCAGAATAAGAAACAGGTGTAATAACCCCCTGTAGTTGAAGGCGGTTAAGTTCTTCGACAACTTTCGATAATGCTGCGTACGGCATTGGTCTCTTTGGACGAAAGACAGGTTTAGCTCCAGGTTTCAACCGAAGTGTTGCTTTCATAGCAGTGCACTGACCCAATACAGGTTGGAAAATGGTTGAAAACTCCGTCATTAGTCCTTTCGAATATGCTTCAGGTTCATGAGGTTGTTTCACCAGATGGCATACGGTGTCTAAAGGAACGTCAGCTAAATGTAGCCGGTCAAACCAGTCTAATCCAAGTAGATTAAGATCAGCTGGTGTGATGTAACATACCCCGGTAAACGTCGAATCGTGAAAAGACACTTTATAATCTAGTTGTCCCAACAAACATAGGTAATTACCACATGCGGTTCGAGGTTTTTGTGTTGTTGGAACCATGCGTGGTCTTCCCATTCTGATCCAATATTTTCGTGAGAGAATTGTTACATCAGATGCAGTGTCTATTTGCAATCTAAATGGGTGTCCATTAATATTAAGGGTAATAAATTTCCTCTCAACTGGGGATGAGTTCTCACAGCTTCCTATTAGGCTCAACGAATTCGTGTTGGATCTAGGCGTGGGTTTTCTGGTACCTTTGGAGCTGCTTGGCTTCTTTTTTCGACAAAAACCATCTTTATGACCCACCGCGTTACATTTCCCACACCGACGTTGCTTATATGGAATATCGAACAAAATGCCATGCACCGCAGTGCCAGCATGGGGCAGGAGGATTTGTTTTTGTCTTTTGACCTGAACTAGATGTTGCTGGGGCAGATTTATGCGAGTTGCGTGGTTTTTGGACTACATGAACTTCGGTTCGATCTGAACCACCACGCTGGACCATCGTAGTGTCACGCTGTAGATTGATTAGGCGTTGATATTCGTTTGCAATATCATTGAGGGTTAGTTTTGGGTCTTGGTCCAATCGACTTAGCAAACGTGTTCTAATGTCACTGAACTTCTGCGATTGAAGGCTGCAGATGAGAATGAGTGCTTTAAATTGGTCTTCAGTAAGCGACTTCAACCGGAAACGTTCACATTCTCGGTTAACGATACCCACATGTGTGAGAAAATCAGCGTCTTCGTTCATTGTGAGCTTCAAACATCGATAACGCGCACTGAATAGTGAGGAGTTGTCTCCGAATTGTCGGCTCAGTGACTGGA